GGTCGACCGTGGCAGTCGACCGCGTATCGGGTCAGGCCTAGATGTTGTTTCCTATTCTGTTTAGGATTGGTGTTTGATATAAATTCAAACACACGTTTTAGGGTTTCTTTGGGGATTGTTTTGGGGTTATTGAAGCACAAAAAAGTGAGATCTTTCTGAGCTATTGGTTATGGTTATTGTTTGAGACATTGAGAGCTTTGTTGGTGATATTAGTTGGTTTGTTTTGAGTGATTTGTAATCTCAGTTTGTACTCTCCTTCTCTATTAGTGAAAACTCATCCGCTTCTTGCCCCGTGGATGTAGGCAACTTACCGAACCACGTAAATTAGTTGTTTGTGTTTGTGTCGTTATTTTGGTTTGTTTGATCTTCTCTCTCGGCGTTTGGTTTGGTTCCTCGAAGCATAACAATTGGCTTCCGCACGCAACATAAAGGATTCTTGTTCTAGATGAAATAAGTCCTAGAACATTTTGTACAGTGTGAAGTCTTTGAATTCATTCAGATTGCAAAAGTACCTGAATCTCAATTAGGATGATGGAGTAGGAGTAAGCAAAAGCAATGTCCCCAAATGCCTGCAGGCTCCTCCACACCTTGTCCATTTCCGACACGGTCCCTACGCTGATGCCAGTAAGACTTCCCTTGACAACTCCATTAGCTACCAGAAAAAAATTACAGCATTTACATCAAAATGAACTAAAACAAATAAATTTGACCTCATAACTTGTCTTCACTTTACTTACAGGCTACTTGCATGATGCCCAGAACAAGACCGATAAAAGAGTAAGTGAATGACATCACAGCCGCAACGATAGAAAGCCACCAAATCTGGTCGAAGTCAGGAATCTGCGAGAACAAAATCTCGACAATACCAAACATTATCATGTAAGGATTGCTCGACATGCGACAAGGGCTGTCGTCTCCGTTCTCATGGAAACAGTTCGATCTCTGGATTGCTCTGTTTTCAAATTGAAAATAACATGAAAACAATTAATTAAGATTGTATGTTGTAACGAGAGCTGTGCTTCTATTTAGAGTTTACTTACAGCATGCTTATGGAAGCAGCAATGGTATAGCCAATGGCGACTCCAAAGAGACTTGTGTATTGAATCCATCCACATATCTTGACCTTAATCCCACCTGTTTGTGAAATTCAGAATAAGCCTAGGGTGTGTCTTATAGGAATCTGTTCAGTTATATGCAAGATTACTAAGCACACCAATTAAGAGAAGAATTTTAATACTCAATTGGGGAAGGGTGTAAATGACAAAAGACTGTTCTTGGTTCCCCCAGGCTCATTGGGCAAAATTTAAACTACAGGAGTAGCTTTGTGAGATACTCAAAAGTCCTAAGGTGCCGATTTAAAAATTATATTTTTGTTGCTTTTTGTAGCAGAGCGAGTCCAAATATTTATGAAAAGCGATAAGAGGTTAACTGAGTAAGAAAAACCAGAGAGAGGTCCGACGAAAGTAAATTCAATTGAGAAGAATAATAGTTAGCTTTCGAAAAAAAAGGAGATACTCATTGACAGAACTACGTGAAATGCTATAATTCATCTAGCCAACCTTAAAGATCTTGTTGTTGATGTTGTTGTTGTTGTATTTATTATGAGCTTATAAAGAAAATAAGAGCTCACCGAAGTTGGCATGGACTGCATCCATGTAAGTGTAGTTCCTTTTTCCAGTGATAGGATCACCGGAGCGATAGCAATCTCCGAGCAAAGCTGACGTATAATAGATAACAAAGGCGAAGAGGACCATGACGGCAGGGCCAGCTACCCATCCGAGCTGTGCAATGGCCCAAGACAGCGATAGCACACCTGACCCGATAACTGCAGTGATAATATGCGCACTCGCAGTCCACATAGTACCTGCAATGATATCAATGTTAAAACTCCTGCGCTCCTACGTGATAAGTTTATTTAAAATCAAGTTCGAACTCAAGTTCAGATTAGCCGATGATGTTTTCTGCATTTCCAAGATTCATTTGGCCTAATATTTAAACTCGGTTAAGATCTTATAGTTATTATTTTCCGTCTATCGAGTCTCGATGGTAGTTTTCCGCGGTAAACACAGCTAAAAAGCTCTGTGTGTTGAGGGTAAAGGAACAATCCTCGAATTGGAGGGGTGAAGGATGTGGGTGGCGGTTCAATAGAGCGGAAATAATAACTATAAGAGCTTAACGGGCTGAAAATGTGAGGTAAATGTTAGAGGCTGATCTAACTTTGAGCTCCGTCAAGTTCGTATTTATATACCTGTTCTCTTCAGGCGGCCATCATCGTCGAAGCATTTAGAAGCGCCTTGTTGGTGGCCAAGCTCAATAGAGAGATCCATTGGAGGGAAGGCTGATTGCTGGTAGCGTATTGGATTGACGGTGTCACCCATCTGTGAGCAGAGAAAATAAGTAAGAACAGAGTACTGAGGAAGGGTATGCTCTGTTTTTGTAACAGAGTACTCTGTGAGCAGAGGAGCAGAGGAGAGATTGAGAATGAAGTGGCAGTGAGGTGCGGGGCTCTGTATATATAGGATTCAAGTCCTCTTTGTTAGACAAAAGTACAGTTCGGTACTTACTCAGTTACGATCGTAGGGTTCGGATCGAGTGAAATATGAGAATGAGTGCAAATAGCAAAGTTTATGAGTCTGAATTTTGAAAGATATTCCTTTCTGATAAGGAGAAGAAAGAATCATTTGGTGCATACTCTGTTTTAGATTAATTGTGCATAGAACTCCCGTACTATTGCCCAAATGCCAATAGGCCCCCTACAGTTCTATTCTTGCAGATAGATGCCTTGTGTGAATTTGTTTTTTTTTTTGACTCTTATGCCCTTAAAAGATCTAATTGTCAAAAGAAAAAAAAATTCTTGTTCTCTAAGGCCTTTTTGGTTCAAAATGTTTTTTGGAAAACACATGGAAAGCTACAGACGTAGCTTTCTTGTGTCAGAATAGCTAAAAAGAATTCCTATTTTGCAGTTTGGTTCACAAGAAAATAACTGGGAATACTTTTTAAAAATGTCACAAAATGTCGTCTTTTAAGGAAAAGTCAATTCCGAGTTTTTAAGGTGAAATTAAAAGGAAAACGCCTTAAAAATATTAAAAAACAGTTGATGGTAAGTTTCTTGAGTACATGTCTTTTCTTAATATGTTTTTTTTTTCCTAATTCTAAGTTTTGATCCAAAACATGAATTTGTGATGAGGTAGAATTCCCCTTCCCTTTCGTTGTGCGAAACAAAGCAAAAAACAAAGCTTTCCAATGAAATGCATGAAAAGCTCAAAAAATAGTTTTTTTTTCATTGGAATCCTATTCCTCTATTAGTTGGAAATGAACCAAACAGACCCAAAGGGTACAAGAGTTCAAAAAACTTTGACTCAGGGGTCTGACTGCAACAGTAGAACCATAGGGGTCTGTCCACAATCGGGCGATAGTGCAAGATTCTATCTGCAATTAACCCCAAGTTTTATATGTCAAGTAAATCCCTGTTGTCCAAATGGAGCCGTAGGATCCTATACTACACATCCTATTAGAACTGTCTACATACAAGTCGATGGTTCTGACTCTCTAACGGGGTGAAATTTCAATTTGTCCTCCTACTTATCCCATTGAAGAGTCAAAACTACCGCAGACGGTTGCAATAGAGTGTGGATATAGGATCGAAATCAATACATGTGGAACAGGAACAATATTTTGAACGATAGTTTCCCCAGCATATGGGAAAGAAATGCACATGGGCAAGTCAAAATAAAATGGACCATGCATTGGGTTTTGTGGGAAGCTAATAAATAATATAAGTCAATGAAAGTTCTCAAAACCTCTATCTTCTTCAATCTTCTTCAATCTCTACAGAATCTAAACAAAAAGAAACAGAGAGATCACTCCCTTGTCCTTTGTATATCCTTTCAATATCTCTACAGACCATGAAATACTAAACTACAGTCTGAGGAGCATTGGCTCTCAAAGTTGGAGAGTTTTTTTTTTTTTTGTTTACCTTTTGCATTCTTCGATCTCTGCTCTCTGGCTGCTGCTTGTATTGGTCTTTTATATACTTAGACTGCGGTGCAGTAGCCAAGAGGAACACAGAGAGAAGAGAGAAGGTGAGAAGAAGTGTGCGTCCCCTCTGACAAGTTTTTGAGGCTCGTTTGGAGTTTAAATAGGGATCACAGGTTGCTGGGGGAGCTGTAGTTTATTCTATTCTTTGCATGTGTACTCTTTGGAAGAATTCTTTTTGCGGTAATGGAACAAACAATAGAAGGAAAGTCAATAATTTTTGGGTATTTGGTTTGCTTCTCTGTGACACAATTAGGGGTGATGATTAACCGGCTAGAGCCGATTAAACTGATCAAACTAATCGTATTAAATATGTTGGAAAATGTTTCTTTTTGGAAAAGTTGTCTTATCCTGAGTTAAGACTGAGCCAACCACTCTCTCAATTTGGAACAATCTCGGAACCTATGGAGAACTTTGAATCCGAGAGAAAATTTGAAAGAGGAATATATATTAATAAAAAAGTGATAAACCTTTGGGGTTTACAATCCTTCTTCAGTCTAATATAAATCAAATGTGAATTTGTTTCCCACCCTAAATAGACTTCAACTTTACTAATAAAATAAATTAAAATATAATTATTTTTAGATTTCTGTCAAAAACATGCATTGTTGATAGAATATAAGGACTCATCCACTACGTTTGGCTCCGTCTCTCAAGATTAACTTTGCCTTTCAGATTAGAAGATATTATTTTTTTCTTTGCGGTCAAGTCAACAATACATCCATATCCGAGTTTGGCTCATGACGCTCCCATGCTTTATGAATTTTTTGGTTACGCATCCCGCAACAATATTGTAAAAGATTTATAAAGAAATATAGAAGAGAGAAATTTAAGGTTTGTGAGGATCTTTAATAGGTTTGTGAGAGAGTTTCTTACTTGTTCCTTCAAAAACGCAAGATATATTAATTCTTGTGTAATCTCTAAAATAAAGAAGACTAAAATTACTTCCCGTGAACGTAAACAATTGCTAAATCACGTAAGTCATGTATATTTGGATCGAGCTTACTTTTCTATGATAGATTGCTATGATTTGTTTTCTCTTTGTTCGAATGTTACTTTCTTAGTGTTCTCCTATTGCCGAGTTGATCGATTGCCCTAGTTAGACCGAAGATATCTAGTTAGATAGATCCCGAAATAACTTACATAAACCGTGCTTGATTGTTTTATCAATAATTGGTAAAATCTCATTAATCTTATTAAGTTCTTAACTAGATTAGGATTGTGTTGGCTATGTTGTTCATGAAAAGGCAAATTTTGTCTTTGTGAATAGTCTCACATTGGAAAAGGAGATGAATAGTAAAGGGTATATAATGGTTATCCTCTTATTGGGCTTTGAGTAGTGTTTTAGGTTTTGTATTGTGTGGGCTTTGTATAACACACACGCGCACGCCGCGCCGCGCGCCATGCACGTGTTCTTTTTATTTCTTCAGCCTTCTATTTTGCACGTTTTACACGTTTTTTACTCGGCCATGCAACGGCTGCGGAGATCGTGCGGGTGTTACACGATTGAGGAGAATGTGCACGGATTATGAGCAACGGCTTTGGAATTGTAAACCCTATATATAGAGGCCTGATCAGTTCAAGGAAAACACAGAAAAAACTCTTTTCTTCTTCTTAAAACCGAGCTCTCTCTCTCTCCTTCTAAAATTCTCGGCTACAGTTCAATTGTTTTTGTTTTTTTGGCAACGTTCTTCATCTGAGCAGAAGCTCTGCCACTCTCGCCCGAGTTCAGAGGCCGACCAAATTCCGAGGGTTTTTACCGCTAGGGGAGAGAGGATCATCTGCGTCAGGTCGATAGACGGGTCTTCAATCTTCTAGGGCAGCGTTTACACGACTGCTTCGATCAGACTAGAATTTCTAATTCTTTTATTTCAGATATAATTTTTAATTTTGACAGCAGATTGGTCACTGGTCACTGGAGGAGGTGGTCCAATCCTCACTTGTTCTTATTTATTTATTTATTTTATTATTATTATTATTATTATTATTATGAAATACTAGCTCAAATCTTTGTATTGACCAATTTAGAATCCACTAATCTGATTAAGAAATTGCCTTATTTTGCAGCCGCACGTTCGAGAGCTTTCCTCCATTGTTCATGGGGAATAGGTTCCTCCAATTTGTACCAGTCAATTATAGTTTGTTATTTGAGTTCCTACGACTGGCATAACGCATTTGTACTAATCCTTATTCCTTCTCCTTTAGTCACTAATACTTAAAAGGGACGCGCCGATAATTTTCATTACCGAATCCTAACACAAATAATGCATAGAGCATTTAGATCTTTAGGAATGATTTTGAAAGTTGTAATGACCAAGTGCAGTGGCCTTTCTATTGATGGTCGTGGGTGTCCGTCGGTCTGAAAGTTTAAATTTCTTTATTCAAGAGATAAGTTCGCAATGCTGTTTTGGTTATGATGACTAAACAATTTGCTAACAAATATAAAAACTTCTAAAGATCAACGCTAATTTTTAGGTTAAATGTCATAACCTCCCAAACTTTGGACTATTATCAGCTGATCCCTCATAACTTTCATAAATTCTGGAAGCCATTTTAAGTTTAGGGGATATCGGAAAACCCCTATAACTTTAAGATGTTATTAGTAAACTCCTCTAAATCATGGTAACTATAGTTTTCACATGGGTAGATAAAATTACATAGGAGGAGATTTTTGTAAGTCAATACTAGGGTCACGCTTTTCAAGAGGGTTTCTAAGAAAAAAATATCTTAAAATTAAAAGGGCTTTACTACTAACCCTCACGTTTTTTTTTTTGGGTGGGGTGTCGAGTTCTGACATATTGCATATTGCTACACAAGAAAGTAATACTTTATTTTATTTTATTTACAATTTCGTGAGCACTTATCATTTTTTTTCAATTCTCTAGAAATATATAGGAAAATTATATGTATTACACATCTATGGGAGAGATACTACATAATTCTCAAAAACTATAATTTAGGTTCTCAAATTCTCACATTTAGAAATTCTAATAAAATTTATCAAACATTTGTTAGAACGATTGTGAAAACATTGTTCAAACAAATATCTCTTGTTTGAGTAATAATAAACTCTCATTTACTACTGATATATTTTGTGAGAGGATATTTCAGGTTTAAACAGGTGCGAGCAAGATGCGGTTCGAAACGATGCAAAAAATCAACATGAACGTTGATTTCACCATTTGAACCATTGATAGTCAAGAGGCATCTGAAGAAGGTAAAGCAACTCATCGATGGTTACATCAATAGGAGATAAACAAAAATAGTTGGCACCATCGATCATCAACAGTGAACCATTGATGGTCATAGGGAACCATCGATGGTTATAGGAAACAATCAAAGAAATCTAGAAACCAGAATCAGCACCATTGATGGCTATAGTGGTACCCTCATCGATGGTCGTGATCCACTATCGATGATTATGATGAATTTTGATAGTTTTCAAGATTTAATCTCAGCGGCTTATCGATACATTTGATCTCCTTTTTACACTTAGATGGCTATCTCTTTTCTATCTTGTCAAGATCTATTTAAAGAGAGTTAGAGATCATAATTAAAGAGAAGTTCAAGGTGTCAAATATATAAAAAGGAGAGATATTTGTTCTAGGGTTTGAGACAGAGAGAGTTAATCAAATCCCTTGAGTCTCGTTCAACTTCTTCTCGGTGAGCTTTTCATTGGAGCTTGATTTAGCGAGAAGGAGTGCCCTACGCTACACCACCACACCGCTTCTTTACAAATCTTCATCTTCAAGGGCGGAACCACCTACATCAAACTGGTGCCACATGACACCAGTTTGATGTGGGCTGCACAGGATCCGCCCCCACTTCCTATTATTACCCGAACCCATTTGTCTCCTACCTGATCCCAGTAGAAAAATCCCCACAACTATAAAAAAACGTTGACCCTCACTTCAGCTGCTCTCCCGTCAGTTTCTCCGCCTCCTTTGACTTGTTGTCGTTGCCGTCGCTATAGGGCCTCAAGAGCTCCGGTGGACCTATAAAGTAAGTATTGTTTTTTTCTAATTTCTTAATTACTTTCTATAATTTAAATATATATGTAGAAATTAGGGTTTTTTTAAAGTTATTAAATTTATAATGTTTGATTTTCTCCTCAATCTTCACAATCACATTTTGACATTAATTTAAGTAATTTTTGGGTTATTAATTTAAGTAAATTTTGGTTATGTTTTATTATAGAAATTTGGATTTTTTAGCTTTTATTTTATTGTAATAGAATCTTCAAATTAATTTCTTAATGTTTGTGGTATCTAAATTTCTAATTACAATCTAATTTACTTATTATTAGTTTTGATATGAGTTTTGATATGAGGTGCTATTTTAAAAGAGCAACCCCTAAGTCTAGACCTTCATCATCTCAGTCTGTATAAAAGCCCTCACGCACTTGAGGAAATTTATCTAGCAGGATTGGTGGTTCTAATCCAAATATCGATGTCAGAAACTCCTCAACAAGAGTTGACTTGAATACTATTCCGATTGATTCTGAAGAGCGATCATCAATTGATAGCTATCATTCAAATTACTGTGACATAGCAAGGAGAGCATATCTTCAAAAAGGCCCTTATCGATCTCGTACTCATAATTTTTGACAAACTAAATTTGGGGAAAGATGCGTCGCTTCAATGTGGATTGGTTTCATGAATTTTCATATTTGTTGGAGTATAGTGCAAAAGAAGAACCCACTCTTTGCTTATGTTGTTATTTATTTAAATCTAAAATTGCAAGTCAAGGTGGAGTAAATCCTTTTGTTTATGGAGTATTTAGGGGTTGGAACAAGAAAACCCGATTAAGCTCATGTTTGAAAATGCGGTGGTGCACACAATGTAGCCATTAAAAAATGTTAAGATTTGATGAAGCAACCACAATCTATCCAATCCGCTTTTGATAGGTAAACAGAGGAAGCCAAGTGTGAGTATAGAGTTTGTCTGGAGGCATCTATTGATTGTGTGAGATGCTTGCTAAGGAAAGGGTTGTCATTTTGTGGTCATAATGAATATGAAGATTCAAGTAATAAGGGGAATTTTCTTGAACTTTTGAAGTTTTA